AAGTAAGACAAAGACTATCTTTTTTTTTTTAACCTCAAGGTACAGTAAGCCAGACACTGTTGGTTGCTGGGGATGGGTGGAGTCAGTTACTGTTCTCATGAAGATTGTCAGATCAACCCTTACAGTGTAATGGGAAAACAGATGTAAATAACTACTGTTTAATAGACATCTAGTAAATGTCTGTTTTCTTTGCTGCCTTATATGTATTTACTCATCTTCACAACAACTCTATGGGTACGGCCATTGCTCATAGAACCTACAATGCATGTAAGGCTTTTTTTTAATGTGAATCATAAAATGTACCCCAATGTCACATGAAAATGAGGGGAAAAGTGTTAAGGTCAGCAACATGGTAGTATTAATTAACTACATTTTTACAGGTGAAACAGGCATGGGGAAGGGTGATATGACTAGAAATGCAAAATAAATGGCAGAGTCAGGATTTGAACCAGAAAGTTTGGCTGTTATACCTTTGTTCTTATTCACTGCTTCACAAATACCTCCCACAAAGTGCAGATAAATTGGGGCATGGATTAATCAAATTGATGGTGTTGTAAAAGGTTTAGAGGAGGTAATTGTTAAGCTGGGTTTAGAATCATGAGTGGGATTTCCCTAAGTATAGAAGAGAAATGAAAGTAGTAAAGATTTGAAAGTTCACGTAAAATTAAAGCAGGCATGGTTTAGCTTGCCTTCTCAGCTCTCCTACTGTCACTTTCTATTACCCAAAACCAAGGTATGTCCTTTGAGATGTCCTCATTTTCCAAAGTTACCTATTCCTCCTGTACCTTATAACTTACCTTCAGGGCAGCTGAGTTAGTTATTAACACCTTCAAGACTAAAAGCATAAGATGCAAGTTTGTCAGTAATCTTGCCTCTCTGCCCAGGATAACCCTAGCTATGAGTTGTTTCATTGTGCAACTTTCACTGTTTCCCAAGTCAACACTAATCAGTCTACAAAAGATATTTTACAGAGTCCTATAATAAAAAAGTTTGTCACAGAAAAATTGACAACTGGTTACTAAAGATAAGTAAAATTCTGTATAAATACCATTATAGGTATCTTTATATTAATAACATAAGAATGTATTGGTAATCGAATATTAACTTTATCGCGCTGTTTTTATAGTTTGCATTCTGTATATTTGCCCTGCCCCTTTTTTTTTTTTTTTTTAAAGACAGAATCCTGGGCCGGTCATGGTGGCTTATGCCTATAATCCCAGCACTTTGGGAGGCGGAGGCAAGAGGATTGCCTGAGCCCAGGGGTTTGAGACCAGCCTGAGCAACTTGGCAAGATCTAGTCTCTACAATAAATCAAAAAATTAGCTACACATGGTGGCATACACTTGTAGCTCTAGCTACTTGGAAGGCTTAGGTGGGAGGATCGCCTGAGCCCAGCAGGTCGAGGCTGTGGTGGCTGTGAGCATGCCGCTGCACGCCAGCCTGGGCTAGAGTGAGACTCCAAAAAAGAAGACAACAGAATCCTGCTCTGTCGCCTAGGCTCAAGTGCAGTGGCATGTTCATATCATAGCTCACTGTAGCCTTGAACTCCTAGTCTCAAGTGATCCTCCTGCTTTGACCTCCCAAAGCTTTGGGATTATAGGCATGAGCCACCACACCCAGCCAGTCTTGCTTTTAAAGAACACTTATAGCCCGGCTCGGTGGCTCAGCGGTAATCCCGCGCTTTGGGAGGCTGAGGTGAGCGGATTGCCTGAGCCTGGGAGTTCGAGACCCGCCTGGGCAACTTGGCGAGACCTCATCTCTACAATAAATCAAAAATTAGCCGGGCGTGGTAGCGCACGCCTGTAGTTCCAACTACTTGGAAGGCTGAGGCGGAAGGATTGCTGGAGCCCAGCAGGTCGGGGCTGCGGTGGCCGGGAGCGGCCACTGCACTCCAGTCTGGGTGATGGAGTGATATTCCAACGCAAAAAAAAAAAGAAAATTCATTATCAGTCAACCAGACGTGGTGGCTCACACCTGTAATACCAGCACTTTGGGTGACAGACAAGAGGATTGCCTGAGTCTAGGGGTTCGAGACCAGCCTGGGCAACTTGACGAGACCTTGTCTCTACACTAATAATAATAATAATAAAGAACACGTATAAACTTTTGTTAAGTTACTGGAGGAAATTATATTTGCATAATGAAAGCATTGCTCACTTTTTAAAAGGAAGCACACATAACAGCTAATAATTATTTTTTACTATGTGCCAGGTACCAATAAAAGTACTGTCATGTATTTAATGCATTTCTCATAAAACCATAGGGATTGTTGTTTATCTTATAAATGAAGAAATTAGAGCTCAGAGATATACTGGGCTAGAATTTGAAATCAGACAGTTTGCCTCAAGAACCCACTATTGAGCTCTCTTTGTGCTGTTATGTAATATCTTTTATGATGCTTGTGAAGTATATTTGTAGTCTTTTATAAATTGTGTTAATAGATAACAAACCGGTTGTCAATTTAGAAAAAAACTGTAAGCATTACCTCTTACAGAAAATGTGAAATATAGAAAGATGGGTAGTTTTAATTGTTTATGTGTTTGTCCAGAAGTAAATTTTATGGAGATGGCTTGATCTTTATTTGATGCTGTAACTCCTTTTTTTTTTTTTTGAGTCAGTCTCACTCTGTCACCCAGGCTGGAGTGTATTGGCATGCTGACAGCCACCGCAGCCTCGACCTGCTGGACTCAGGTGGTCCTTCCACCTCAGCTTCCCAAGTAACTGGAACCACAGGCATGAGCCACCACATCTGACTAATTTTTTTATCTCTTATAGAGATGAGGTCTCGCCATGTTTCTCAGACCAGTCTCAAATCCCTGAGCTCAGGCAATCCTCTCACCTCTGCTTCGCAAAGTGCTGGGATTACAGGCGTGAGCCACTGCACCTAGCTATAACTGTAACTCTTTATGCTTTGTCATTCTATTATTGCTCCAAATTTGCAGGATTTAAAATGATGCCGTTTTTTTGTGTGCCTTCTAAAATTTTAATGGCAGGCCTTAAAAGACTCTGGAAGTATTTTAACTGTCTAATTCTAAGTATCTAATTAGAATGGGGCTCAAGTAATAATATTTATAATGTTTGTTTCTCTTGGTCACCCTTCCCAGTCCTTTGAGTGATAACTTAGTTTCTTGTACCTACAAGTTCAGATTTTATTAGCTTTTGACCCAAAAATCATATATAATAGTGATTATTTTATTCTGTGTATTAAGTATATTAACACTGTATTGAGTATATTAAGAACATGAATTTTTAGTATTCCCTTTCAGAGCCTAATGTAGTTCATATGAACGAGGGGGTCACTTAATAAATTTAAAACATTTTATTTTGTCATAGAAAACTGATAAGCCAGTGAACATCTGGAACATCTCAGAATTACGAAATAAGTAAAAATGGACTTAAGGACTTACTTTTAGAAACTTGTCAGCCCCTTAACACCTCTTAAAAATGTATTTTTAGTAGCATTTTGATAACATGGGTTAGCTAGTTCCCAACTAGATTTTATTATTGAGCATGTACAGGGTGAAAATGGACTTATAAATATAGATGGATACTGTGATGATATTGTAGCAAAAAGAAAGACAAACACTAAACTCCAGCCTGGTGTGGTGATGCTGGTGGTATGCACCTGTAGTGTCAGCTGCTTGGGAGGCTGATGTGGGAGGATTGCCTGAGCCCAGGAGTTCTGGTTCATTTGGACAATATAGTGAGACCCCCATCTCTAAAAAAAGACAGACACTAAGGTCCAATAAAATACACTGAGAAGAAATAGCCTGAGCTCACTTAACTTTTGGAACAGATTGGTCTATACACTTCAACCTGAAGGACAGGTTCAACACAGTGTTTCTGTCCTTTTTTTTAAAAAATGAATGTGCTGGGCACAGCAGCTCATGCATATAATCCCAGCACTTTGGGGCGCCAATGCACAAGGATTACTTGAACCTAGGAGTTTTGAGACCCGCCTGGGCAACATAGTGAGACCTTGTCTGTAAGAAAGAAAAAATCAAAAAATTAGCCAGGCATTGTGTCACACACACCTATAGTCCCAGCTACTTGGGAGACTGAGGAGGGTCACCTGAACCCAGGAGGTTGAGACTGCACCATGCCATAACTGTGCTACTCTACTCCAGCCTGAACAACATTGAAACCCCAACTCAAATATATATATATATATATAAAAGAGAATTATAATGATAAAACTTCAGAAATCAAGAGAGGAAAACATTTAGAGAGGCATTTTGTGAAGTTACTTGCAGTAGCTTTCATGTGTGAAAGTGAGAATTTAAATTATCTTTGGATGATTTAATAACATGCTTTGCCTTTGATAATTAAATGAAGAATTAATGCTTTCTAATTTCATAGACCCTGCATAAGACCATGGGTGGCTGCTTTATGAACTGTAATTCTGTCATTTTAATCTATATGTATATGTTTTGTTTTAGTTTAATCAGCTATGAGTTAGTGTTTAAGAATTCAAGTTCCGGAATTAAATCTGTATTTGAATCTTACCTCTTAATGTGACTATGGACAAGATAACCTCATTGAGCCTTAGTTTCCTCATATAGTCATAAGTATTTATTGAGCACTTACTGTGTACCAGGGACTATTTAAGGAATTAGGGATATGTCTGTGAACATCATAATAGTGGGAAAAAGCCCTGTCCTCATGGAACTTAGATTTGTTTGGAAGAGACAGAAAATAAGAGAAGATAATTCTCTATTTTTTTCGGGATTAAGTAGGGTAATGAAGATGTAGTTTTCATAGTACAGAATAAATGTGGGCATCTATCTTTTGTGTTTGTGATTGATTGTTGATTTGTTAGACTTGTATTGGGATAGAATTTTTAGTTAACTATATTAGTCATCTCAAAAATTGATAATTAGTAATAGTTTTTAATTGACATTAAATATGTTAATTTTCTCTATCGTTGAGGAGGTAAGGTGTAGGGGAAGTAGAGGGATAGTGGTGAATCTCAGTGTGTGCTTTGCTTTTCTTTCTAACAGCCACCGAAAAAGACACCTAAAAGAGAAAAACCTAAACAGAAAGTTACTTCTAAAAGTAAAAAGTCTGTAAAAAGTGCTAATGTTAAAAAGGCAGATAGCAGCACCACCAAGAAGAATCAAAACAGTTCCAAAAAAGGTATGTTAGAAATGACATTAATCAGCAACTCTGAAGATACTGCATATATGCTGTACATAATATTTATGTGTGGGAGGGAAGCAGGTCAACTGCAAAGAACACTGGGGGAAAATTAGTGCAGGTTGAATATCCTTTATCCGAAATGCTTGGGACTGGAAATGTTTCGGGTTTTTGAAGAGTTACTTACGCAAAATGAGATACCTTTGTCAGGAGACCAAAGTCTGAACACAAAATTTGTGTTTCATATAATCTTATACACATAGCCTGAAGATAATTTTATACAATATTTAAATTTTGTGCATGAAACAGTTTTGACTGCAACCTGTCCATGAGGTCAAGTGTGGAATTATCCACTTGTGTTATGTTGGTGCTCCAAAAAGGTTTAAATTTTGGAGCATTTCAGATTTTGGATTTTCAGATTAGGGATATTCAACCTATATACCAGTTTTTTATAGCTTACAGTTTTTCTTTTTTTTTTTTGAGCTGGAGTCTCTCTGTCGCCCAGACTGGAGTGCAGTGGCACGCTCCCGGCCATCTCAGTCTCGACCTGCTGGGCTCCGGTGATCCTTCCGCCTCAGCCTTCCGAGTAGCCGGAACTACAGGCGCTCGCTACCACACCCGGCTAGTTTTTTTGATTTATTGTAGAGATGAGGTCTCACCGAGTTGCCCAGGCAGGTCCCGAACCCATGGGCTCAGGCAATCCACTCACCTCAGCCTCCCAAAGTGCGGGATTACAGGCTGAGCCACCGAGCCCAGCTAGCTCACAATTTTTCAATGCATTTTTAATAGGTAACCTGTAAAACAGTGATTTATACTGTTTTTGTATCTCATGCTCCTTTGAGAATATGCTAAAAGCTTCTTCCCAACCTATCTTAAATATTAATTTACTATATAAGAAAAATTCTATTCACGTTTTATAAAATATCTTACTTTTAGAAAGTGAGTCTGAGGATAGTTCAGATGATGAACCTTTAATTAAAAAATTGAAGAAACCTCCGACAGATGAAGAGTTAAAAGAAACAGTAAAGAAACTATTGGCCAGTGCTAACTTGGAGGAAGTCACAATGAAGCAGATTTGCAAAAAGGTAATTGGACAACTTTTTTGGTTATTTTGCTTCTACTAGAAAAAGTTTTTCATCCATCTCTTAATTTGAAGCTAGATCCTTATGTACATTCATTCATTGAATAAATACTTATTGAGTTACTGTATGCCAAGTCCTCTTACAGGTGTTGCATACCACATTAATTTAAAATAAGATAAAGTCTCTGTCCTAGTGGAGTTATTTTTATAAAAGAGTGAGTAAAATTAAAGTGATACATTCCAAACCACATAGGAAACTTTTTTTCCTGATCTGGAAACTTTTATTGATGCATCCTTAGATTGTGTTAGCTTGAAAAAGCAGATTCTTGTGAACCATCTTATTCTCTTGTTAGCATAGTAAATGATATGTTATAGATTAGGTTCTTAACTCAAACTTCTGTGGCATTCTTCTAATGCTTCTCAGGAAATAAGATGTCCTAGTCTTGAATATGATTGCTTAGGGATTCTGTACCCTAGATCAAAATTGGGAGATTTTAGAATCTTGTCTCTTATGGTAAAATGAAATTATAATTTGAAACATGCCAAAGGTGAAATAGTCTATACTTTTTTGGAGGACATTGATTATTGTTTTTGTTTATTCATCATTCATTGAACCTCTATTACATATCAGGCACTAGACTAAATGTTACAAGTAGAGCCTGAGAAGCCATTACTTGGCTTTTAAGGTGGGGATTACGGTCTAGTGGGATAATAAGAGACGAGTATTTTAATAATTAGAGTATGTAAGTGAGGGCTGGGTGAGGAGAGTATGAAGGTGCGCACGCAGCACCATGGAACAGACTGCCTGCTTGGGGATATGGGAATCTGGAAAAGCATCTTGGAAGAGTTCTTAATAGAACATCAGCTGTTCCATACAGTTAGGAACAACACAGTCTCCAAAATGGTAACTGCAAGGATACGTAATTAGTTTAATATGTCTCAAGACTAGGATTAGAGGGAAATTTTCACAGAAGAGAAAATGTGAAGGAGTTTTGCAGATCTATATATGCCTTATTACAGAGTTTGCTTTTCTTCCTGAAGCGAATGGGGAATTGGGTGTCTGGGTAGACTATTGAGAGATACTCAGCAGGGGCATAACATGATAATATTCTTATTAGAATTATCTTAGAAACATGTAAAAGAATGGACTGGGAAAGAATAGATGAGAGAGGCAGAATGCTCAGTTTTTATATCATAATCAAAATGACAGGTTTGCCATAATCGAGTAAGATATCGAGAGAGCCTGATCAAAGATTGCCGTTGTGGTAGAACTTGGATAGCATTAATCATGACAGAGAGTAGAAAGAAGAAACTGTTTGAAATGAAGCTTTGAACATCCAAATGGGTAAAATTGTGAACATTATCATCCTATAATTTAGGAGCAAAATCTAGACTAGGATATTGCTGGGACTTAAAACCAAAAGTATAGATAAGGTAGCCCAGATAAGGAAGAAGATAAAGAGTGAGTGAAGCAAAGGACAGAAATCTGAAGACCACTAACACTAGGGTTAAGAAGTGATTTCTACAAAATATAAGAAATTTTAAAGTCAGCATAATAGAAGAAAGGCCAGAGGAAGTGGTGCTAGAAAGACAAGAGAGGAGGCACTCTCTAGGAGGGGGCAGCACAGATTAAGAAAAGGTGATTAACTTAAGAGAAAGTGGACAATGGGTATGGAAGGGCAATTCACAGAAAAAATATAAAATACCTGTAAACATAAGAAAACACACTCAACCTTCCCTATTAATTAGAAGTATAGAAGTTAAAAGGAAATATTTTGCTCATTAGACTGACCAAAACCTATAAAGGTCTATCATTTCAATTTATGGCAAGGATAATTTGGGAACCAGATACACTCATATGCTTTAAGTTTTAATTGCTTCTTTGGAGGACAATTAGGTAGTATTTTTAAATTGCAAATGCCCTTTAACCTAGCAATTCCATTTCTAGGTCTCTATCCTAAAGACATAGTCACATCTGCACCAAAATGATTACAGTAATGTTCAGCATGTCTGTAATATTGAAAAATCAGAAACCACCTAAATGGCGATCGATAGGGAAATGGTTAAACTGTGCTACATCCATGTTTTTGGAATACTGTGTAGCAGTTAAAAAGAACATGGAAAAAACCTTCCAGGTATTGTTAAATTTTTAAAGCATATAGATTATTACCCCATTTATGTAAATGCAGAAAAACTTACCATTTGTGTGTGTGTGTGTACGTGTGTATAAATTCATTGTTTTAAAAGGTCTGGAAGATTACACATAAGACTGATCACTGGTTTTCTCTGAAGGAAGAGAAGGCTTAAGGAGTGGAGGGGAGGGAAAATTGAAGAGAAATTAGTTCTGTCCACTTGAAGGATTTTTGTCAATACATTTCTGTGATTTAAAAAAGGGATTATTTATAACATGTAGAGGTTAGATGAGAAGGAATTGACTTATTTTGGCGTCTGCAGTTAGGAGATGATCACATACAGTTTCAAGGGCAGTGAAGTAAAGGACCCTTAATTTGAGATTTAATGAAGAGTGAGGAAAATGAATTAAATCTTCTGTTTCAAGCAGCTTGCTTTGGAAGGAAAATAGTAGTTAAATGGGGGGAATGTAATTTGTTGGAAAAAAAATTTAAGGGCCTTGGGAGGAAAATATGTGTTATGTCAAGGGGCAGGTACTGGGAAAGAAAAAGCTGAGAAGCTACAGGAGAGTTGAGGGATGGGTCCCCATGGAGGCAAAGGAAATAGGAGACACTGAATGCAGCTAAATTGAAGGGGAAAGAGATATGTCAGGAAGTTGAAGGAATACATAATGGCCTCTTGGCTGAGAGCAGTAGCGTGGGACACTTGAGGAAGGAGATGAAGCTGCCATTGACAGAATGGAAGGAGAGCCTGACTAGAGACTAGGTGTTTCTGGGAGTCTTTGAAATTGAATACCATGAGCTGAAAATGATCCCAATCTTTTTAAAGCTGTTTTCTCACAGCAATCTATAGTCTGAGTTAACCATAGAAAAATGGGTAGTTAGACCAATTCAGAGTTGGGGTTTTGCAGGGAAAGAACAAGAAGCAAACAGTAATTTAAACAGATTGTATTTTTTAGGATTGGCACACTGCTGTCTGTGGGCCATATCCATTCCATATCGCCTGGTTTTGCAGATAAAGTTGTATTGTAATACAGCCACATCTATTCATTTAAGTATTGTCTGGCAGCTTTCACACCGCAGTGGCATAGTTGAGTAGTTGTGACAGAAACCGTGACTGGCAAAGCTGAAACTGTTTACCCTCTGGCCCTTGACGGAAAAAGTTGCTGACCCTGAGCTGTATTATAAGAGAAGTGAGATCAGCAGGGTGCATGTTGTTAAGTTTACACACTGTGAGCTATGAAGTTGGGACTTGAAAGCAGTGGGTATAATGGGACTGAGAAAGTCGGAAAGTTGACAAAGAGGGCAATTTAGACGAGTTTTAGGAGAAGACTCTTGAAACCACTTGAATCTTAGTGATTTAACTTTTGGGAGGGATTTGAGCAGTAAAGATTGAAGTTCACCCAAGTTCAGGTTGTGGATTAAAACATGGAGTATTGGGTGATATAAGCGTTGGAGAAGGAAGAGGATATTTCTAAAAGATTTGGCAGGTGACCTGCCAGTATACACTTAGTCCACTGAACTATTATCTGTCTAGATGTTTTCCTCACCCATGTTAATTGAGCCCATAATCTCAACCTATAAAGCACTGAAAGAATGTTTGCATGCTAGTTTTCTGCTTTGTATACAGTATTATTACTACTACTCATTTGCAATAGGATTCTGTATGGTGACCTAGAGTACTGTTAGAATGTATATGCAGCTATTTGTTCCTAGCACAGACTTCTTGTTTTTATCCAGAGATAATATTACTGGATTTTCATATCTGCTTTTAACATTTTCCTTCTCACTGTGCATAGGTTTATGAAAATTATCCTGCTTATGATTTAACTGAAAGAAAAGATTTCATTAAAACAACTGTTAAAGAGGTAAATATTTTAGTCTTGAAATTGATCATTTTAGACAAAGAAGACAAAAGTAATTGTGTATATAAAATACCACATATTTTTCAAAATATTCATGTCACCAAATACCACATTTAATCATCAAATTTCTTCATAATAGATGAGAAAATATATTTCTTTCCATTTCCACTTTAAAGCTTAAAATTAAAGTTTAGTGACAAGACCTGAACTCAAAGATTGGGCTTACAATGTGCATTAATAACCAGACATCTCAACATTGCAAGTTCCTGTCCACCAGCCAAAGACTGGGGAAGATCAGCAGGTAGCTGCAGTTTTATATTGATCGCATCTGATTTTCCAAGATCAAAATAGTGAAATTCATGTGGAAAAAATGGAATAAGGTTTATGGTTTACATATACTTACTATGCTAAGTATGGTAAAATGTTTCTTTCATTACAGCTAATTTCTTGAGATGGAGGACAGAGACAGATGACTTGTTCCCATAGATTTGAAGATCTGATTGATATCATTATACCAGCAAAGAGAATGTATTTCCTTTTCTAAGTCCTTATTAAGCATCGTTAGAACTTATTGCTGACCTTTTTATCAAGTGTTATGTAAATTTGAGTTTGCTGTTTGCATTTCTATGCAGTTTTAGTTTTAAATCTTGCATGGCAGTAATTGTTCCTTGCTTTTATAGTTGTATTTTGTAAATTTTGGATTTCTTTGTCATAGATTCTTGAACTCTTGTGGTTTTTAGTGCACTTAATATTAGCTGCTTAAGAATACTTTTAATCAAGTAGTACAAGACTATTATACCCGGCATTTATACACACAGAGACATTGCAGTATTTAGTATATGAGATATTTTGAATACACGTCTCTTCTGTCAGTGTGAGAACTCAGTGGCAGTGTGTTCATCATATTACAAATATACAAGCTATAGTTGTCCAGATGACTAAATCGGAACTTTTCTCCTGCATGTGTATATATGTCAGATTGTCAGCATGACAGAAGTGACAGATGTTATTTTTGTATTTTTAAAAACCAATTTGTTGTATATAAAGTTTTTTTATTTCTTTTGTGCAGATCAATTTTTAAACTCACATAGGTAGATATCTTTACAGTTGTAAACAATGAAATGTCAGTGTTCAGCCAGACAGTATGACAGAGCAGGGAAAGTCACATACTCAGTGATGGAAACACTGAAAGAACAGTCCTGCTTTGCCTCCGAAGTGTCATCAATATGTAGTTTTAGTAACTCTGCAGAAGTGTCTGTAGGTACGTTTTATATTAAGTACAGACCCAAACCAACACATTAGAGCTTCAAAAACTTCAAGGGGGGATTAAGTACAAGCACATTTGGCTTACAGTAAATGGAGTGATTTTAATTAACTGCTTCTGCCTGTATAAAATAAAATGCTGATATTTACAGAAAACCTGGCCACCTTCATAATTGTATACCTTCATAAAAGTACCAGGTGTAATGACAAGATAATGTGCAAGAACTAGTAAATACCTCTGACAAAGTATTTCTCAAAAATGATAATATACTTATTTTTAACATTAATGTATTTCTGGAATCAGGATTTTGGCTTTTAAATTTTGGGTAATCGGGATTGTAGGTGATCAATATGTGAACCACTCCTGAATAAGACCCTAATTTTGTCTTTGAAATTGACTGTCTTAATCAGTTTATTAAATAATCTATCTGAAGTTTAAAATAAAACATGCTGCTTATGACAGATATCTGATGTACCAAATTAAGTGTTGGAAAATCTTTGCATCATAGAACAGAAATATATAAAAATGATACATGTTGAATGCTAGTTAACAGGTATTTTTACAGGTTTGACTTGTTTCTTGATAAAGTTAAGACATTAGGGAAAGGTTTACTTAATGCAAATGAATGAAATAAGCAACTAAATGAGATCTAAAATTGGCCTTTGACTTTAAATATTTAATTTGTTCTTATAAACCTTGTCAATAAAAATAATAAATCTAAATCTCTGGTGTTTTACGTCTCCTGGATTTGCTGACTTAATACAGGTTTATGTAGCATTTCTTACCCTGTGACGAGGGTATTAGAACAAGGATTTTAAATGGAGTCAGCTACTCATCCTATACAATTTGGAGTCCTCTTTAGTGACAACTGTCCATTTTTTAAGTGATTTCACAAAATTACCAATTAATCAAGGCTAATTATTTTATGACCATTTACTAAAGAAGATAAGTAATAAAGCTGCTGATCTAAAAAGCATAAAGAGGGTTTGGCAATGAGATAGAGTTGTGTGTGGAAGTTCTTGGTAACGATGTACCCATTTAGTAATTGTTTTTTCATCACTACAGTACACAAAGTGCATTTGAAAGTCAGTTTTTTATTAAGTAGTTTTATACAACCAGCTATAGTTAAAACATTGTAAATTTGTGTATTTACTGCTACTTAATTACAAAATCTTCACACAACATTGAAGAACATATTCAAAGAAACAAAGTACCACAGTTCCTTAAAGAACAAAAAGTCAAATGAAGTATGTCACTTGATAGGAAACTTCTTAAAATACACATTGACCACATACTTTAAGTAGGTTTCCCCCTACTTGTAGCAGTTTTAAGTGCCCAGAAACTAAAGAAATAATTTACTGTGAACCATTTCAAACAACATATGTTGCATTCATCACCTAAAAGCACATGCTATTTAAACATTTTAATACATAATACTTTAAAGCAGAATACTTCCCAATCAGTACCAATGAGTCTCAACAAATAATCTAAATATCAATGTCTCCCTGTGTTGTCGGCTTTCTTTTGTTTGTATTATACTCTGATGGGGAGAGGGTATCTAAATTTCAAGGTTCACTGCACATTCACTGCACACTGCATAAGATTTATTCTTTATCAGCTTTAAATTTTAAAAATACCCTTTTAAGCAAACCATTACATTTGAAAGAACTGTTCAGACTTTTTAAAACAAACATATTTCTAACCTGTAAACTTAAGTTTCTTGGCAAGATAGGCACCCTGAAGGCTGTGAAACTAATGTCTATTTTAAAACAACATATTAAACCATCTGCCATGGATGAAGAAAGGAAAAAAGGTAAAAACTACTTGCCATGTTCTTAATAGGTTTTTAAAATATGGCTTTTAGAATGTGTAATATTTACCAGGATAGCTCACATTTTTCTGTAGTTCCCTGGTGGACCTGCCTATGGAATACTTTAAAAGCATAATTATGCAAAAAATATTTCTAGAGATTGAGTCAGTTGTTTTAAAAAGAAGTGGGGAGGGACTTTTATTAAATTATTCTGACGATCTTTTTGCTAGTGATGGCCAAAGTTAAATATATTTAAAGTGTGCTACTCACCCAAATTTGTCTTTAAGGAAAAGCTATACCTCTGTCTCCAGTATGAAGACCACACTATCTGGGCCCTATTCTCAATGATACAATGTCTGTTTCGTGCAAGGGACTGAGAATTTACCTGTTTTGCCAATGAATGCACAAATCTAAAATATTTTATCACAAAAGATACCTGGATTTAAATTTCTTTTAAACATCCAATGAGGAGAAATATGTACAATATAAAATATCTAGAAGCTTCATTTTACCATCAACTGGAGAGAGTAATATATCAAAAAAGAAAGTTCTATCTAAATTTTAAGTAAAAGTTCAATACTGGAGCTATATAAAAATATTAAGGCTCATTGGTAAAGATACTGATAAATTGTCACAGAAGAAAAACATGGCTTTATCTGGTTTAATGATTCCTGCTTGATTGACTTGGTTTCCCAGTGTGTGAAAATTGATCAGCCAAACAAAATGTCAAATCTGAAGGTAACCTCTAACAATGGAGCAGTCTTATCCAAGGGCTCAATTTAAGGTTATAGTCTGTCTGCCTTATTCTGAAATCCAGACTTTTAGCACTAATTGGACCTGTGGAAAATGCAATTAAATGTAAGTGCTTATAAAGATTCAGGGAGTCAGTGGTAAAATGGGTTTGCGTTATATCACCTTATAAACATCTCGATTTGCTGCGCAGAGAGGTTCACCCCCTCCCTTATAAGACTGAGGTTTAACATGTGTTTCAAACTTTCCCATCTGGAATATAGAAGAAAGCTGGGTCCAGACCAATTGCAGTTAAAATGCTGCAATCTTGCTTGCTTCTCGAACACCACTCAAATATGCTCCTGTAACAGTCTGTGGAAAATGTCTGTTTGTTGCCTGTAAAAAATTTGAAATTGTGCACAAATAATTGTCAATATCAAAAGGTAATGCAAGCTTAGACTTTTCTAGTTCTCCTGAGATAAAGATTAGTACCATTCCTGTGTGCTCATATTAACATTACTCACCTATCATAACACTTGAACTTTTCTGGTTATCTTGCCACGGTTTGCTAAATTCATTCATTCAAGCACTCCTGCCAAGCACTAGGTGGCATTCATTAAAATACTCTAATGTGCCAAGTACTGGAGTTAGGAACAATGAATAAGACATAGTCCTTCCCCTCAGACAGTAATCTAGTTGGTACAGTCATAGACAAGTGAAACAGTTACAAAAGATGGTTGGCAATTCATCCACAGATGGAATTTTGATAGATGGGTGGGAAAAAGGGTAGACAAGTTACTCAAGGAATCGACCAGGGACCTGAAGTTCAATAAGAAAAAGACAAAATGTAAGGGCTGTTGGGAGGAAGTAGAAAGGCTCAATAGGAGAACCTTATTTTCAAAGAATGGCTATAGTGAGGATAAATAACACATCCAGAGGATAGGAAAGGAGAAGGCCTAAATTAGTGACCAGTAATAATGACAAGGTTTGGGACATGGTTGTGGCGGGTAGCTGAAGTGGAGCTGAACAGGCTGTAGAAACAGGATGAGAAACCGAGGTGATGTCACGTTCCATATGAAGCTGAAGTCACCTAAGTTGATAGCTGGGGGTAGAAGGGAAGACATCCAGGTGCCAAAGACTTGAGTGGGAAGTGACCAGGTCACAGGAGGAATGCAGTTACCAGTCAGGGAGAAAATGGCAGTGAGGGAAGCCTCAGAGAAAGGGATTTTGAGAAGGTGAGGTGGTAACTGGATCACAGCAACAAAGGAAAGTAAGGTTTAAATCATGCTCATGACCCTGAGGCACATAAGCCTGAACAGGCATCTTTTGGAACTTCCCCTCCTACAAAGCTGGCTCTCTGAAAGGGTAAACTGAGGCAAGGTGGGCCAGTGCCACAGGAATAATGCAAAGAATTGCAAAGGAGAAGGAAGCAAAGTTTATTATTCCCTTTCCATAGAGTAAGCAAAGACGTCTGGTTTTAAGATGTCATTCATAAACAAAACCACTTTATTTTAGATGAAATCACAAGACATACGTAATCCCAAACTATATTATACAAAGTATGAACACAGCTGGTAATGATTCATTTTAAGTTTGGAGTACAGAGCAGAGGTTCCAGTAACAACAAATCAATCTACCTCAAAGAATCCTTACAAAATCTCAGGAGCAGGAGTCAGTGGTTGGCATGGGGTGGAACAGGATTGGTTTAAAGATGAGAATAACTTCACCCCTCACCAGATTTCCCATTCAACTTGCTGCAACTCTTCACAGCTTTGATTTAGAGAGCAGAGTCAGGCATCAAACAAAATAGGAATTAAGTACAGTCTTCATAACTAGCAATGAGGCTTCTAGTACCCACGATGCCAGGAGCTGAGACCACCATACAGAAACTGTCCCAGATAGAGTGGTATGTTGGGATCCAACCACCAGTTAACAAGCTTTCTGGAGCTTTCACATGACTTTTTAAAAAAGCCTTGCTCAGATCTGAGCCAACAGTCAAGGTTTGGGGATTTGGACATGGAGCAGGCAAAGACTAAAGCACAAAATAGGAAATCAGGAAAACTAGACAAGGAGGAAGCAAAAAACAAAATCCCAAAAGCTGTTATCACCTGAGTTTAAGAAACAGGTTATGAAGAAGAGAATGCTACCAAAAAGGAACATTCTGCAAATAAGAAAGTGCTCATAGAGTAAAAGAGCCAAAATTTTAAAAGTCAGTTTGATGGAGTATTTTTTAAATCTCCCCAAAAGTAAAATAAGAGATGAATAACATAAGGAGGTCAATGCAAGAGTTCTAAGACGTGGAACAGAAACTCTAGGAATAAAGAGATAAAACTCTTTATTTGATCTGATAAATAAGAAAATGAAGAAAATTACTGGATAGAACAACGTAAGTTTCCAGATCACAAGGAATGAAACAAAAAGACACGGAAATGATCAGAAATCAGAATATTAAAATACTTCTCAGCAAAAGTAAATAAAAAATGGGATCTTGGAATAAAGACTCAAGAGCGGTAAGAAAAAGACCCAGGAAGACGCTCTGCAGTAATCTCAGCGATAACTAGGGTGGACTGAAGCAAAGGGAAGAGGATTCAGGAAGGGGGAGTTCAAAGGCTGGAACTGACAGACCAGCTCAGAGAGATTCCATGTGAACCAGAAATGAGTCAAGGGTAGAGGAGACTTGAGGGGAGGTACCAACAGAATTACGTTAATGATCAAAGATGAAAGGAACCATTATGACTGCTAAGAAAATACAAAGACGTGTAAGAAAGTTATTCACAGACACCTCAGTTCAGCAATAAACAACATTTACATAGTCATAGAATATAAACTCATAGAATATAAAATCGTTGAGTGAATGGCACAAAAAGACTAAACAGGCTTAATAAACCTGACGAGAAGGCAGCAGATCATGTCTGTCTAACATGAAATCAGAAGATGAATATAAACACTTTGTGTTTTTAAGGCGGTCTCACTGTGTTGCCGAGGCTGGAGTACAGTGGCATGATCACGGCTCGCTGCAGCCTCAAACTCCAGGGCTCAGGTGATCCTTCCACCTCAGCCTCCTGTGACTACAGACACACACCACCACGCTTAGCTAATTTTTTTCTTTTTTGTAAAGACAGTATCTTACTATGCTGCTAAGGCTGGCCTTGAACCCCTGGGCTCAAATGATCCTCCCACCTA